TATCTTTATTATCAATAATTATAAAAAAAACGAACGTCAATAATCAATAGAATGATATAAACAGAAAAATTAATTGATACTGTTCATTTTTTTTATGAACCTTGTTGACCATATTCTTCGGTAAATTTCTGATACTTTGCCAATTCATCACTTCCTACTGTTGGTCTTTGTGTATTAAGAGCAGCTAACATATCCGACTGAAATGATTATATATTTCAATGTTTTATTTACTTAATATAATTTTCAGGATTACTTACCATAGTTACTGGTGGGTTACATAAATCATCAGGTTCTATTTTATCTAACGTCATTGATTGAGCGTGTGGATCTCCAGGTGAACAAGCAAGCCAAACATTGGTAGGTTCCTCTGGATTTTTAGTTGGATTCGGTACCTACATGATATAAATCATAAGAGTGAACAGATATATGATTTAGTTGATACTGACTTGTTTAAAATGAGTTGCTTCGACAAGTCGTCGAACAGGTCTTAGTAAAGCTTCACGACAAACAACAGCAATATCAGCACCAGAATAACTAATACAAATAATTAATATATACTTCACTATATACAATTCAATACTTACTGTTCAGCTTTTTCTGCAAGTTCCATCCATTCATGATCATTGATTGTATGATAAGTATTAATACCCAAATGAGTTTTAAACATAGCTGCACGTTCATTTACACCAGGTAGAGGAATATAAATTCGTTTTTCAAGACTAAAATTATTCATAACAATTTATAGATGTTTATATACATATTTGTCATTGAAATCATACCGTCGTCGAATACCAGTGTCTAGTTGCCAAGGAATATTGGTTGCAGCAAGAACGAGAACACCTGGACTATTTGTTTCAACACCTGTATTATCTGTTTCAGTACCTGAATTATTTGTTCCAACACCTAATAAAACGACATTAGTTATACTTATTTCTATATTCATATCATTAAATAAAAAACATATACCGTCCATTTGAACGAGAAACTCAGTAACAACACGTTTTGATGTTTCAGTGCCTGTATCATTACGTTGTCCACATAAAGCATCGATTTCATCAATAAATACAATGCATGGTTTTCGTTCGCGTGCAAGCTCAAATAGACTTTTGACAGACTGTTCAGCTTCACCAACCCATTTAGTTAGAATATCTGATGAGCTGATTGATATGAATGTACTTTTACATTCAGTAGCAATAGCTTTACCTAAGTATGATTTACCAGTGCCAGGAGGCTAAATTGAAAATGAAATATATGAGATGACGAAAAGTATTAAAAACTTACTCCATAAAGTAGAATACCAGCCCATGGTTTACGTTTCCCTGATATACAAGAATACGATATATTACATAGTAGCTTTTTTATTTCATATAGAGATTTACCTGTAAAAAGTTTTGGATATTTAATTGGTAAGATGACAGCTTCTTGCAATGCGCTTTTAGCATGTTTCAATCCAACGACATCATTAAATGAGACTTGTGGATTAGAGACAATAGCACCTGATGTTAAAGAAAAATGATCATATTCATATAAGAAAAATAAATTTGGTAAAATCTAACCTTCAAATTTTTGCATCCTACGTCTCTTGTCTGAATCTGCATCCTCTTCATCATTATCTCTACCACCTTTTGAATTTTCACGATGATTGGTACGACCACTGGCTACAGCCTGTTTTTTTGGTGATTGTTGTCCTGTAACTTTTTTTAATTCTTCTACTCTCTTCAGATAAGAATCCACTGTAGTACGTATGTTTATTTTCGTTGTTTCACTCATAGTTCCGTCTAATCAATTATATACTTCAACGTTTAAACTATTTCGAAAATCATCGTAACTACTCACATTTTGTTGCATGTAGAAACCATTGTGCTGCAGCCATATAGGCTCGTGCAGCTACTTCATAATTGTGGTTTTTGTCTTCTGTAGTAGCTTGCTGAGCAAGTTCAGTAGCTGTCTATAACATCATCAAAATAGAAAATGAATCAATACAAATTAAATTATCAAAATATACTTTTATGGTAGTCGCCAAATCCATAGTCATTGTTTCGGTAGTATCTAAAGAATAAGATCATATGAGAGAGTATGGTTGCATTGCGCAGAATGTCGAATAATTTTGAAATATCGATAGAAACAAAATGAGTAATACGTTCTCTGTCTACTGCAAACTTTCTTGTGTCATTTTAAAATGAGTAAGATGCAGAACAAATCACATGGTGTAAAACTATATATATATACTGTCGATTGAATTACTCATTTTCATAGTAGACGCCAGGGAAAAAAACAAAAAAGTATTTTTGGTTTTCTAGGGCTCAGAATTATTCAGAATTGCTTATTTGTTTTATGAGTCAGTATTGTTACTCATTCTTATCAATATATATTTTATTAACAATAAAATTTCATAGGTTTTTTTCCTTCGAATTCAGCTGATACTATGATAATTATTATTTACAAATTATTTCGAAATTTCTATTATATTTCATTATCTATTTATCGGTCTAGACAAATATTTAAAAATAGATCACATAATGCTGAGCAACAATTACTGTTGTACGATATCTACAAATTGTTTTATAGATTCTTATTAAGTTTTAATTGTGTATCATTAATACTGAATAGAGATGCATTGATTTAGCTATTAACTATAATAGACGATATCTAAAATAATGAATTTGAAACATCCAAATACATTCCATTCAATCATATCAGTATAGAATACAGAGTCCGATGAGGCAAGTTTGACCTGGGTGCTACGATCAATAATCAGTAATTGACATGTTCACTTCTCCAATACATATGTATCAACAGATTGTGTTTCGGAAGAAACTATTCACATTGTAATATGGAGTAATGATAGCAAATGAATGTGAGGCATAAAAGATTTATGGAAAAAAGCTTCTTCTCAGAATCTTTTTTAGTCTGTGTCCTTATAATATTTAGCGACTTACCTCAGAAAGATAAAATTTTAGACGTATAAGAAAAAAATATTTCTTTATTCTTTATTTTATCTCTATTTATAAACTAAAGATAAAGTAACACTCCTAATTATAATATATTACATACAAGATACGCATATCTTTTAGAACTGAATTTATTTTGTATGTCTTATCATTAGTGGTTCATTTTTCATGGTGAATCTTTATACAATGATAAACTTATATTGACTCTCTGAATTTTCAACTTGTACTTCTGATGTCTAACGACCAATAGCGACACGTATGTCATAACTATTCATTGGGTCAAACTAAGTATTCAATGAAGTATTTTCGCATAGTTAAAGAATACATTCGCTGGATGTATCTAATATGTGGTTTTGAATATTTTCTTAAAATTCATTTTTTTCACTAGAATAATCCTAATAAAATCATTATTGTCTTCTTATGTTTGTGCGATCTCAGTCTTTATTGAAGTAAGTCTGTACTCTATTATTTATATTTCAAAATATAATTTTTTGTTTGTAATATATATATTATCACGATTATGTATATTTCTTTTTCAGATTTACATCTTTGATTAATAATCTTTACGCTCGAACCATGAAAATCCGTCATTTCAATGCATTAGAAGATAATTATATGTATTTAATCACTGATGATAAAACAACAGAATGTGCCGTTGTTGATCCTGCCGAACCCGATGAAGTAATTTTTTTCTATTAGAAAAACATATCAAAGTTAATTTTGTTTAATTTATATATCTATAGTTAGTAAAAACAATTAAGAAAGAAGGTTTAAAATTAACAACAATTCTTACAACACATCATCATTATGATCATGCTGGTGGTAATAATAAAATGCTTGAATTAATGGGTGCAGAAAAAGATCAAATAAAAGTTGTTGGTGGTGATAAATCATTACAAGCTCTTACACATCCAGTAAAAGATAATGAAAAACTTCGAGTAATAAATTTTCTTGATGAAAAATTGTTCAAACTAAAATTAAAATTTTGTATTTATATAGATTGGAGAACTTGAAGTAACATGTTTATCAACACCTTGTCATACAGCTGGTCACGTTTGTTATGTTGTCACTGGTTAGAAAGAAAGAAGAAAAACAATTTTCTATTTTTAACTATATAAAAATGTTTTAGATGGAAAAGAACAAGCTGTTTTTACAGGTGATACTTTATTTATTGGTGGTTGCGGTAAATTTTTCGAAGGTACAGCAGCACAAATGCAATCAAGCCTTCAAAAACTGGCATCACTCGATCCAAAAACTGTATATTAAATATAATTTTTTATTATATTCAAATATAAAAAACTAATTTATATTTTAGCTTGTGTATTGTGGTCATGAATATACGAAAAAAAATCTTGAATTTGCTGCAACTGTTGAACCTGATAATCAAGATTTAAAATCTAAACAGTCAAGTTTAAAATCTGTTACTATTCCATCCACAATTGGAGATGAACTTAAATTTAATCCATTTATGCGAACTAATCAAGCAAGTGTACAAGCTTTTACTGGTAAAAATGATCCAATTGAATGTATGGCTGAATTACGTGAAAGAAAAAATAAATTTTAAAAGTTTACACTTTTTTTTTTTCATTAACTTACCAGACATTTTTTATTGATATTTAATAAACAAGCGAGAATAGTTTCGATTTAAATATTCTACCCTTTCTTTTAGATGTATATAATAAGAGAGAAAAATACAGTGATTCTTTAGAAACATATCGTTGAGTTTGCTTAATTTAGAGAAAGACAGAAGAATAATCGAGTTATTATAGTTGTATCGGTATTTCTATGTACAGACATAATAAGTTGTATATATGAATAAACTATTTGAAGTATGCTGCTTTTCTCATCTAGTATGATAAGTTTTTCAAGTATTTTAGACACGTATCTGTTAAAGAATCTTTTTTTCTGCGCTCTAAATGATAACAACATGGACAATAACTATTTTGTTCGATTCTTCATAAGATGAAATTTGAAGCAAAATATGTATCATATGTGTGATTCTCTTTTGTAGATTATTGACTGATTTGAAGAGTTCTTTATCTATTACGAATGATACAAGGTCGTCTATGGCGGTATTTATTAATCTTTTTCGGATTGTATCTTATACTTGGTTTGTTTCTTCTTCGTTCATTTACTTCTGATAATCGTGAAACAACAACAACACCATCTTCACCTAATGTACGCATACTTGATAATGATGGTGAAGACCTGAAAATTAATCAACATCATATTGCTGCAAGAGAAATTAATGCTAATCAAAATCAACAAGCAAATTTAAATTTAGAACCATTTATGACAAAAGGTGTATTAGGCAATTATGAACCAAAACATTTAGTTGAATCATCTGCTCCTGGTGAAAATGGTGAAGGTGTTCATTTAAAAGGAGATGATATTAAATTAGGAGAACAATCAGTTGCAGAATATGGTTTTAATGAAGTAGCAAGTGAGAAAATTTCATTAGATCGTCGAGCACGTGATACAAGGTAGAAACAAAAAAGATTATTTTTAAAAGAAAAACAAAAGTATGTATTCATTTATGTAGACCAGATGAATGTAAATATTGGAATTACCCAAGTGTTGATAAATTACCAACAGCATCAGTTATTCTTGTTTTCTATAATGAAGGTTGGTCTACATTAGTACGAACAATTCATTCTGCTATTAATACAAGTCCAAAAGAACTATTAAAAGATATTATTCTTGTTGATGATTATAGTGATCAAGAACATATAACTGTTCGTTTACCTGAATATATTCAAAGATGGAATGGTCTTGTAAAATATGTTCGAACAAAACAACGGTAAATTATTTTTCAATATATATATATGATCAATAAATTATAAATTCTATGATTTAGTGTTGGACTTGTTGAAGCTCGTATTATTGGTGCTCAGACTTGTGAAGGTGATGTTGTTGTAGTCTTAGATGCTCATTGCGAATGTGTAAGGAAATATATCTTATTCTTACATTACATATAATTTTAAATTGTTTTTTATTTTCTAAGGTAACAAATTGGTTACCACCGTTACTTACACGAATTGCTTTAAATCGTAAAACTTTAGCTGTACCCATTGTTGATGGAATTGAATGGAATACTCTTCGACATAATAAAGCATATGGTGGTACACTTTATAGAGGTATATGGGAATGGGGATTTTTATATAAAGAAGCTGAATTACCAAAACGTGAAAGAAGTTTAATGAAATATGATACTGAACCATATAAAAGTCCAACGGTAAATTGAAGAGGAAAATATCTTCTAGTATCTCAATAAACATATTTTTTCTTTTAGCATGCTGGTGGTTTGCTTGCTATCGATAAAAAATGGTTTTTTGAATTGGGCGGTTATGATCCGGACATTAAAATTTGGTAACTATACACTAATTCTTCAATACTATGTCGTATTTTTATTTTTTTTTAAGGGGAGGTATGCATTCATTTTTATAATAGTATCATGCCAATTTCGATATTCACTATTAGGTGAACAGTATGAATTAAGTTTTAAAGTATGGATGTGTGGTGGTCAGATTGAATGGTAAATAAACTAGAATATACTCTTAATTTAATTGATATATATCTATTGATTTTGAAGGGTTAGCTGCAGTCATGTTGGACATATATATCGAGGTCCACGTAAACGTAATGTTCATCCTCAAAATGCAAAGCCACAACAAAGTCATATAAATCATATGCGTGTTGCTGAAGTATCTATTTTATTTTAATTTTTTTATTCAAATCTTTATATTTAATATTAGGTTTGGATGGATGAATATAAACAATATTATTTAAATCGTCATCCACATCATGCTCATTTAGATATTGGTGATACAAGTGCATATAAAGCAATACGACAACGTTTAAATTGTTCGAATTTCCAATGGTATTTAGATAATGTTGCTTATGAAATGGCTGAAAAATATCCATTACCACCAGCAAATCTAGTATGGGGTGAAATGCGTAATGATAATTATACAAAAATATGTGCAGATGCACTTCAAAATCAATATGGTCGGCCTATTGGCATCTCTGGTTGTCATCATCAAGGTGGTAACCAATTATTTCGACTTAATATTGAAGGAGAATGGTCAATAGGTGAACATTGTTTCGTGTCGGAAGGTGAAACTGTTATTGCAAGGTAGAAAAATATGCTTTGTTTTTGTTTGGTGACAATTATTTTATTATTATAGACATTGTGTACAAATGGGTCGATGGATTCCGAAAGGTGAATGGTCATATGATAAACAAACACGGCAAATTCGCTCAACAAAAGTTTATAAATGTGTCGCAACTGATAGTAAACGTGTATTTTTGGAAAAATGTGATGAAAAGTGTACAGCACAAAAATGGACTTGGTCCGAAATATATATATAGTTTAGACGATGATTCTAAAAAATGCTTTAATCAAATATGAATTGTTCAAGTCTGAGAATCTCTGATTCACATCTTTTTTTTTTGTATTGCTCTGGTGATATCTTTTTATCATTGTTCTTTCAATAAGCTTTCATTTTTTTTATTTCTTTTCAATTGTGTAAATCATATTTTAATACTTTTTGAATGATCCGTTTTCTTTTTAAACACATCTATATGAATAAGTGCAAAGGATAAAAAAAACGAATAAATAGATTAATAATATTTGTAATTGATTTTCTTTAGATAATATGTTACATTTTTTAGCAAGACGTTCATATATAACTAATCGACAACTATTACTTTTCTCTAAATCAATAATTCGTAATAGTTATTATTTAGTGTAAGTTTTATTCTTGATTATGAGAGATGATTCTATTATTTTTCATTTTAAAAGAATACCTGAACTACCACCCGTTGTTGAAGGTAGTGATTCTTTATTTTATACGGAAACATTTCCATCATTTGAACATGCAACATCACAAGCAGTTGTAAGTGGTGGCCTTCGATTATGTTCAGAAACTGATACAGCTATTCAACAACATGTGGATAAATTAGCACATGGTAAATTTAGTATTGTATTTATTCATTTACATAGTTCCTTTTTCTTTCGAAATATAGATTCATCAAAAACAACATTTGAATCTATATTTAACCCAATTGAAGATCTGAATGTACCATTTGAAACTGGCTATTATACAATTCGTCAATTAGCATTAGTTAAACAAAGAATATTTGCAAAATTATATTCAAAAGTTTGTCTATTCATCTTTTCTTCATTATTCAAATTTTTTTTGTTTTTGATTTAAAATAGTTCGATAGTCATTTTGGTGTTCATCGAGAGTTTCGTTTTCAAGATCCAACTCTTTTTAATCTTGTTCAAGTATGTTGTTTTTTTGTACTCCTTTAATATTATTGTAAAATGTTTGTACTTTCATTCTAGGAATTAAATACAAATGAAAAACGAGCAAATTTAAAAGATTGGCAACAAACATTAATAAATATTTATTTACATTTTGGAAAATTAAATGGTTGTCATTTAGAAAATGAGGAACTTGATCAATTACAATTACTTAACGGAAAACTTAGTCAACATCAATATAGTTTTTCGTAGATATTCATACATTTATTTTTATTAATCTTTATTTCTTTTTCTCTCTCGAACAGACAAAGACTTCTTTACAATAATAAAACATTTACACATCTTGAACTTGATCCTTTCGCTTTTGATGACGTACCATATCATATTAAACAACAATTTGCTGTTGATAAGTAAAATAAGAAGAAAAAATACATATTCCCTATAATAATAATTTTATTTTTTGTCATAGAGCTAAACCAGATTCAGGACCATGGAAACTTGATTTATCCGATCGAACATTTCATACAATAATGACTTATTCTGGTAATCGACCATTAAGAAAATTAATGTTTGAAGCTTATTATGGTCGTGCATCACCAGTTGTTGATCGATTAAACCGAAATGTAGAAAATATTGTTGAAATAACTCGAAAACGGTTTATTTTCTAAATTAATTATGTCATATATAAAAATAGCTTTATTTTATTTAGAAAATTAATAGCTAAATTCCTTGGCTATTCATGTTTTGCCGATATTGTTTTACAAACTAAAATGGCTCGTACAAAAGAAACAGTTCAAGATTTTATTGAAACAACTCGTTCAAAATTAAAACCAGTACATGATGAAAATATTCGTGAATTAACAGCATATGCTCAACAAAAAGCTAAGAAATCAAAAGAATATGATCAATTACAAGCATGGGATATTGCTTATTGGCGTCAACAACAATGTCAAGATTTATATTCATCATTAAAAATTGATTCATTACAAATAAGTCGACATTTTTCATATGAAAATGTTTTAAAAGGACTTTTTAATTTTGTTGAAACTCTTTTTAATGTTAAATTTGAATTAGACAATAATATTGATGAACAATATAAATGGCATAACGATGTACAAGTCTATAAATGTATAGAAAATGGTAAAAGAAATTTTTATTTTATTTGAAGAAAATATGTAATAATTTAGAAACTACGATTGGCCATTTATTTATTGATGCATTTGCTAGACCCTATGAAAAATCAGAAATATGTATTGGTACAGCAGGTCGAGATCGTTGTCAACGACATAATATCTTACCAATTGCTTATCTTAATATGAGTTTACCACGAATTGAAGGAACAGCGACTCTGATGACATTATCACAACTCAAAGAAATGTTTTTTGCTGTATGTATTGATAATATATTTTCGTCTTTTGATATCATAGTTTGTCGTTTTTTTTCAAGTTTGGTCGTAATCTTCAAATTCTTCTCAGTCGATCACCAAATCATGAATTATCTGGTATACGTAATCTTGAAGCGGATGCACTTGATATTGTTCCACATTTTTTTGTTCAATGTCTTCGTGATCCAAATATTCTTTCGTATATAAGTAATAATGTTGAAACAAAACAAAAACTTGATGTTTCAATTTATAATCGTGCTTTAAATCAAATTGATCAACATATGATAACACATGATGTTCTTCGACAATTATATTTAAGTGCATTTGATCTTGAAATTCATACGAATGCAACGAATTATTATGATGCTATGGTTAAATTATGGCCATTATTTACACCAATACCATTACATAATCGTGATTTTCATCCATGTAGTTTTGAACAGATCTATTGTGAACAATTAGCATCAGCTTATTATTCACATAAATGGTCAGAAATGATTGCATGTGATTTATTTAATGCTTTTAAAGAAGTAGGAATAAATAATAAAGATCAAATTTCTGTACTTGGAAAAAGGTAATATACATGTTTAATTATTATATTATTGATATTTTGTTTTTAGATTTCGTGAAACAATCTTAGCTAGAGGTGGTACAATTAGTATGAGAGAACTTTTTCGAGAATTTCGATCACGTGACCCAAGCTATGAACATTATATTCAAAGATTAACCACTCAATTTTAGAACGTTTTTTTTGTTTGTTGTTTTCTTTTTTGTAGTGTGTGCTATCTTGACACAGTTTTTTATTTAGGTAATCAGAGAATTGACGAAGAAAAGAACGAAACGTCAATAATAAAAATGTTGAATACTATACATTAACTTGACTATAAAATATCAGACATAAAAGGAAAAGAAAGGTATACAAATAATACTGTTCATTTAGTTATATATGACTGATTCATTCGATCATCAATACGTTGTAATATACTTGTCATGGAATTCATGTGTTGTTCAACTAATGTTAAACGTTCATTAAACATTTGTAAATGTTCAAGAACAGTTATTTGACCAGTACGAGGATTATTTGTTGTACGATTTGTACGAGAACGTGTTGAAAAATTACTTTGATTTGTACGTGTTAATAATGTATTATCACGAGATAATGGTACATAACCAAGTGTAGAATCAAGTCTTAAAAGGACATTATAGTTAATTTAGGTTTTTTTTCGATTCAAGTTCTTACTTTCGTTGTATATCTTTTAATCTAATCATTAATGCTTGATTATCTTCAGCAGTTTGTTTAACAAGTTCTGTCATATCACTTGGTTTTCTTGCTTCCTTTAATAATTAAATTAGATAAAAACACATACTTTTTTTCTCTTTAATTTCTAAATTACTTGAAATTTTCGACGGGCAACAAAAAATTTCATTCGTCGCATAACTCGTATTGCTTGTTTAAATTTTTCTGGTAATCTTTTAAATAATACATTCAATCTATGAAGAAAAACAAAACAACAACTTACTGATCTATTCCATTTTTATATACTAATGGTGTACTATCGAATGGTAATTGACTATCACCAGAATGATGCATAATAGTTCGTCGACGAAGAAATGAATTATCACGTGATCTTGATAACATTTTTTCAGCTGTAAAACAAAAATTTATATTCTTTATTTATAAAAATTAAACAGACCATAAGCAGGATCAACTAATCTATATAGACGCCATGTTGCATTATCTTTTTGAAGGCGACTTGTTGCATGCATACGCCACGCTGCTTGAATTAATTGTGCTGCTGCCGGATATTGTTTATGATACATTTTTTGTTTTTCTTTTTGTTGTACATGTAGAGCAAAACCAGATCCTAAAATGCCCTAAAAATGCAAAAAAACAGAAAATAGTATTTAATATTATAAATACTTTACTTACTGCTGGTAAACTAAAAAAAGCAATACCAACCATAGATAAACAAGCTGTAACAATTCTCCCAGGCCCTATTATTTTTCAATATAAAATAAAAGATGAAATTTTTTTTCTTATATATGTAATTTACATGTATGCGGAACACGATCTCCATATCCAATTGTAGCAACTAAATTGTATTAATTAGTAAACTATTTATTAAATAATATATATTTTTACCAGTTACAATACCAAACCAAAGTGCATCAGCATAGGATTCAAATGGTCTTGTTCCTTCAATAATGTAATCTCGTTCAGCCAAATAAACTAAATAAGATGTAACAATAAGTACAATAAAACCCATGTACATTGTTGTAATTAATTCAATTCGATGAAGATATGCGACATTAAGAAGAAGTTTCCATGAGTGTGCTTTACGATCAACATGTAACATACGTAAGATTTGAAAAAAACGAATTATTCTAAAATATATAATGAAATTTTATCAACAAAATAATTCGATGAATTTTACCGAAGTGCTGGTGATGCTGCCATTACTAAAAAAAATACATATTATATATATATATATATTATATTCTAATATAATTACCTGGATTTGCAGAACCAATTCGACCTGATATATGAAATCCGATAACAACTGATGAAGCAAGTACAACAAATAGATCAATTAGACTAATTGGTGTTCTCATAAAATGAAATCTTCCAATCCATCCTTTAAATTTTGCACGACAACCAGCTGACCAAACACGAATTATATATTCTGATGCAAAAAAAACTAATAAAAACGTTTCCTACAAGAATAAAAGAAATCAAATTTTTTTCTTCAATAAATATCTTCAAAATTTACCACATAAATAAATTTTTGTGTTATTTTTTCTTCATATTCACCAATAGTACAGATAACACCAATAACCAAACAAAAAAGAACGATAAGAAACCTATAAATACATTTTATTTAAGATATATTTCTGATTATTTTCTTTATAATAAAAAAAATCAAGAACAATAGCCAGCACTATACGAACATGCAAAAGAAGAAAAGACACATTTTGTCATACAAATAATCAACTTACGAATATTTAATTCCATTAGTTTTGTTTTATACTATAAAAATATCTTGTTTTTCAAGATTTTTGTTTTTTATTAATATTCGAAAATATTCTTTCTCTCAAATACTTACTTACACCATAAAATGATAGGCAAAACAAATCCAACCACGACTTGGTCGTTCTAAAATAAAAAAAAAAGTAAAATTTTTTATTAAATATAAATAATTTTTACCAAGAAAGTTATAAACTTTCTTTTGAAATATTTTCATATCCATATCAAAATATAATTTTCCATCTGAACTCATTATCTATAAATATACATCATCTATATATTTGTTTTTACAATATCAGCACAAAAGCAGATTGAAATCAATGTTTTTTTATTAACCAGAAAAAGAACTTATAATACAATATTAAAAAGATTGATGTAATCGATCAGAACATAATTTTTCAATGTCATCTAAACTTAAATGATCAACAGCTTTTTTCATTTCCTAGAAATAGATACAAAAAAAAAACATTAAAGAAGATTATTGTTTCTTTGTATTGTTTTACTTTTTGAAAAGCATTTATAAATGCTTCACGTTCATTTGTATTTTGAATCCATTTTGAAGCAAGTGAATGAAGTTCATTGAGAAATGCATTATTTATTGGTTTTGTTGATATTGTCGAATTTGTTGATAAAATTAAATGTAATTTTGAACCATCGACAATATGATAATCTTCTAATGATCCATCATGTAATGGTTTACCTTTAAGTACTAATTTTTGTTGATTTATAGGAATATTTAATTGATTAGAAAGACGAGATTTTATTTCTTGAACTGTATCAATTGGAGATACCTGAGATTTGAGTTTTTCTTTTATCAATAATAATGATGAAAGATAAATTAAACTTACTTCTAATTGAATTTCGGCTAATGCCGGATTGTTAAGAACTTTAATATGTATTAACATCTAGAAATGAGTGCATATAATCAAAAAATCGCGAGTGCTCAGGCAAAGACTAGCAGTGCTAGATATTACATCAACAAAATCAAAGGAATAAAAAAAAACAGAACAAACATTATAACGACGAATGATTAATCAAATCCAATAAATAGTTCCTTTTTTTCAATGTTTTAATTAATAATTAAACAAATAAATTTTTATAATTCACTAATAAAATGATTTTGAAAAATATCTTTTCAAGAAAATTTTCATATTTATAGCGCTCGTATTCGATTGGTTATTTTGAACCAATAAAAATATTTTATTTTATTCGTTATAGACATTTCAATGTATTTTTTATGGCTGAGTTAGAACGTCCTCGATGATGATATAACTGTATACAGATCATCTTGTTAATCTCAAAACTTGATATTTTATTTATTTTTTTCTGGAAAAATAAGAAAAAAAAATACATGAGGAAAAAATTAGCACATTTCAGAAAGCACATCTATAGTTCCATAGCCATAACTAGAGTAAGCTACATCAAGTAAATAGTCATTGTTCATATCACCGACTGCAACAAATGATGGATATGCATGGTAACCTACAGGTATAATTGTATTGTTTATGAATGTACCATTACCCACACCATAAAGAATGGAAATATAATTGGAACTAAAACTAGCGACAACAATATCCAATTGAGTATCATTATTGAAATCACCTAGAGCGAGTGAGTAAGGATCCGATATGTAACCAGTTGAATATGTCATAGGAGATGTAAAATTTCCTTTGCCATCTCCTAAAAATATGTCAACACTACCACTAGCATAATTGGCAACAGCAATATCCAAATTTGTATCGTTATCGAAATTACCAAGAGCAACTGAATATGGTTTCGAATTATTACCCAAAGAAAACGTCGTCTGATTTGTGAATATACCAAAATCTACTCCAAAAAATACACCAATATTTCCACTGCCTGAATTAGCAACGATAACGTCAGGTAGATTGTCATTATTAAGATCGCCAACACTAATAGATCGTGGTGATGATTGAATTCCAGTATCATAAGTTGTTATTGGTAGATAACTTTCCAAAGGTGATCCAAGAAATACATAAATTCGAAAATAATCGAAAACAACACAATCTAACCGATGATCTCCATTAAAATCAGCTGCAGCAATTTGTTGAGGATTATAAAATTGAGAGAGACCATATGTCAAATCGGTAGAAAAACCACCGTTTCCATAACCAATAAAAACAGTAATAACGTTACTAAAATACAAGAAATTTAATGTATTTCGACAATAATTGTATTAAGTAGTGTTCGTATCTGAAGAATCAAATCTACGACAGTTTTCTCTTAAATAATTCTCAAGCTCTAATAATTTCAGAAGTATGATAATGCTAAAGTTCCGATTATTCTACGAGTATAAGGTTTTCTGAATTTCCGAATATTACAAAATACTAATCATATGTCATAAAAAAAGAAACTTAGAATTTGTTAAAATTAGCTTACGTCAAATAAAATGAATCAACTTTTCTATTATTTTTTCCACTATATAGTTTCTGGAAAAGGTAGTAATAGTATCGATACTCTATCTTGTGTCATTCTTTTTCAAATCTACATCTTAGAAAAACTAACTTTATTCACTTACACATAACTGCAGGCAACTGCAATATCCAATGAACCGTCAGAATTTAGATCAGCCACAGTTAGTGATACAGGTTGAGATAAAGAACCAGTACTAAGAACAACTGGATCTGTAAATGTTTCATTGCCACTTCCTAAATAAACCAAAACAATACCATTGCCTTGATTAAGAACCACAATA